CTAAAATAACATTTGGTGAAATAATAATAATAATAATAATAATAGATAGATAGATAGATAGATAGATAGATAGATAGATGGCATCGACTACAATAACATTTGGTTTAATAATAATAAAATTAATAATAATAATAATAATAATAAGAGATAGATAGTATCGACTAAAATAACATTTGGTTTAACAACAAAAACAACAACAATAATAATAATAATAATCACAGATAGATAGATAGATAGATAGATAGATAGATAGATAGATAGATAAATAAATAAATAGATAGATAGATAGATAGATAGGCAGACAGGCAGACAGAGATAGAAAGTTGACGTTACAGCAGATTGACCAGGCAAAGCGGATCTTTGAAAGTTTACAAAAGTACATCTTGACCAAGAAAAGTTTAAGGAAATATACCATCTTAAAGGTCTTTAAAATTATTCTACACCCACTCTCCTCTATGAATCATGGCTCATGTACTAGCAAGGCGGCGAGGATGACAAAACTACCGACTTCCACATACCGTATAGTTCGATATGGTTGTCTCCGGTCAACGCAACAAAGAAACACCACGAAATAGATGGCCCAAAAATTAAAACTCGTCTCTTACAGTATCGAAAACTACGAAAACTTAATAGAATACTGACAGACCTGACGACAACCGTCATCACGGAATCAATTCACAGACACAGTTTAGTGAGGAGGAACAGTGACGTAACGTTGTCAGCACTCATGTCCACCACCAACGTCAATTCTTTGCAAACATGGAGAAAATAAAAATATATTCGTATGTTTGAGTTAAATTTTTATGGTAGCCCTCCAATATAAATACCAGGATGTACCAACAAAATATTTTCTACCATATATATATATATATATATATATATATATATATATATTCAGTTCTTAATAATTACTGAGATGATCGAAATTAAATTTATAAAGATATTATTATTATTATTATTATTATTATTACAAATGCTTTTTTAGCGGATGCACGTGCTTGAGATGACAGCCATTTCTATTTTATTTTCTTAAACCGAAATTAATCAATCAGCTTAGATCAAGTAGTCGTCTAAAAAATTATAATATATAATGTGTGTCTTATCACCAATTTATATTTTCAATTCTGCGCATGCGCGTAGTTTGTTTTTGACTGTGTCGACTACACAGTATAGTAAGGTTAGTTGGACACCGTCTATGAGAAAAAGAGCACCATGACGCAATTTACTCCCCCAGAAAATTGGAAATGGCATGCTCTCCTGCTTGGGATTCGAGCCGGAAGCTCCAATACAAACATTGCTGAGTGTTTTGGTGTCAATACAAGGACATTGCAGAGGATTCGGAAAGTGCTGGATGGGTTTGATGGTGATAACGAAAGTACAGCCGCTATGACAAAACACTCTGATCGTTCTGATAAGAAAAGAAATCCCGAATTTGTCGGTTAGGACCTCAGACTCAACACGGAGGCCTACATCAAATGTCTTGATGAGGCAGTGATGCCCAAGGTCAAGAGGGTGGCTGCTGAAAGATCCTATATCTGGTAACTGTATTCTGTAACATGCAAGAAGGAGAACCTATGGCTGTCAAACAATTACTGCGACCACATCAACTCTTACATCTGGCCACCTAACTCCCTAAACTTGCAATTCTCTTAAATATTATGTGCTGGGTGCAGTTGAGCGAGCGACCAACAAATCTCCCTGTAACACCAAAGATGAACTGAAGTCAAGGAAAACAAGGAAACCGTTCAGAAGATTTGCTTGAGATTCCGAAGTCGTCTGAAGGCCACGGTTGAAGCTAGTGGCGATTGTATTGAATATATTTACTCTTTAGTATTTCAAGATAGTTTTGTGTAATTTTGGTAAATATATCTGTTAAAATGAGATGTCATGATATGTGAGTGTTATTTTCATTTTTGTGTAATTAAGACAATTTATCAATCGCCTTTATATATATATATATATATATATATATATATATATATATATATATCGGGTGTAACAGCAAGATTGTTGTCCAATTGTCAGATTAAGATCTGAACCGTTATATCTTAGAAATGATTAAAGATATCTTACTAGAATTCTCCGAGGTTTTTCTAAGACTATTGGCCTCTATTATAACACTTTTAGGCTCTACATTGAGCAATAAGAATGTGTAATTACTCTCTAAGCTTAATAAAAGTATCGTGATGAAATTGATCCCAAACGAAAATTTCACGTTCATAATTAATTAATTATAGCTATTGGAAGCTCATGTAGTATTGAAATAAAGTTCACACACACACACACACACACACACACACACACATATATATATATATATATATATATATATATATATATATATATATATATATATATATATATATATCGCCTGCTTGCTATTGTTTCAAAAAGTAAGATATATTCACGACTTGAAATCTTTTGAAACAAAAATTTGAAATGAATATTTCATTTATAAATTGGCTTGTCATAGTTAAGGAAAGTTTTACAGATGGATGCCAAATTGTTGAAGACCAAGTAAATTGCAAATTACAAAGACTTTTCTGCCCTATGTAAAAGATGATATTATTAAACAGAACAATTTTTGAGATGAAAATCAAAACAATCCTCGAATAAAAGAAGAGTAATGAAATAAACTTTTTTTTTTTAAATCAATATGCAAATTAGTTAAACCTGAAAAGTGATAATGCCTAATATATATAATACATATAGAGATTTTAGCGTCCCAATTCCTCCTTGGAGGCGTTCACATGCTCGGATACTTACCGGTCACAGGGCTCTGTCTCTGTGCTGGTGGTATTACGGCTATGACTAGGTTGGACCGGCTCTGACCAGCTTGAACCATCTATGACAAGCCGAAACCAGCTATGACTAGCTCAGACGAGCTCTGACCAGTTTGGAAAAGCTATGACCAGCTTAGAACAGCGGCCCGAGTGAAAACATTAAGGTTCCCACGTTAAAAACTGACCTTGTGTCACAACCTGATTCAGTGGGGGGTCAAGTAAATACCGTCCAAATTCCTCCTTGGAGGGGTGTACACGCTCGGATACTTACTGGTCACAGGGCTCCGTCTCTGTTGTGCTAGTGGTATCACGGCTATGACTAGGTTAGACTGCCTCTGACCAGTTTGGACCAGCTATGACAAGCCAAGACCAGCTATGACTAGCTTAGACCAACTTGGACAAGCTATGACCAGCTTAGACCAGCGGCCCGAGTGAAAACACTCGGGTCCCAACGTTAAAAACTGACCTTGTGTCTCAACCTGATTCAGTGGGGGGTCAAGTAAATACCGTCTAAATTCCTCCTTGGAAAGATTTTCAACGCAGGCATATCATCTCTCAGCTGCGTCTCTGTCTTTGGACAGAGTGCGCTCAGGGGCTTCTCTGTCAAAGAACAGAAGAGCAACTGAGAAAATTATACTGAGAGGTGCCCAGCCCTGGGGAACAGCTACCCGAGGCCGCGCCCTCCCATTGCCCAAGAGGGAGGGATCGGTGCTCGCAGTGAGGCCAGCGCAACCGACGGTTGCGGGGGCTGTGGGGAATTTTTGTCCCTGCCCGAGTGTACGCGCTCGGGTCCCCACCTAAAAATAGACATTGTGTCACATCTCGTCCTAGTTGTGGGGGTGGGGGCAGAGTAATTACAGCGTGTAAATTAATCTGGAGTAGTTTATCATCTCTCAGTTGTGTCTCAGTCTCCGGGCAGAGTGCACTCAGTGGCGACTCCGTCAAGGGACAGAGTTGCAACCCAGGAAAATTATACTGAGAGGTTCCAAGCCCTGGGGAACAACTGCCTCTAATTGCACCAGTGAAAGGGATCGGTGCTCGCACCGAGGCCAGCACAACCGACGGCTATGGGGCAATTTTTGTTCTTAGCCCGAGTGTACGAACTCGGGCTCCCCACATTAAACCAACCTAGTGTCACAAAGCGACAACGTGGGGGCGTCTAGTAAATACCAAATTACCATGAAGTAGCTAATCTCAGAATTTATGGGAGAATTGAGCTCCAATTTCTCATTTATTCATGTAGATTCCGTAATATAGGTTTAACTTAATTAGCTATTTTCTAACTCTTCATATGTTCAATGTATAACTAATTCTAATTTCTATTTTTCCATCTTTACATCAGATTAATTTTTAATTATCGCATATTCTATCACCCATGAAATAAAAATAATTGTTTCTACAGAAAATAAGGATTTACGTACATGAAATCATCTTTGAATTAAGTGGCAGCAGAAGAATTATCGTTGAACTTTTTAAAGGCAAGCTTAAACATTTATTCAATATTAAATGCAGCGATCAATTTTGAGTTCTGTAGTTTATTGATGCCTATCGCATCAACTCCTTCCTAGCTATTGTAATGATGGCCAAACCAAGAGTCCTCCTCAGGAGCTAGATTAAATGCTGCCCGATAGGGCGGCTTTCAAGCTAGCTTGTAATTTTACTTAGCGTAAAGTTTTAAGCAAGCTAAAATTTTGGTTACTCCCCTTGAACTCTGAAAGCAACGATAATGGCTAACATAATATATTAATATATATTTTTAACCTCGCATAATCTGGTAAACCTGAATCTGAGCTCAACGAAAATCGTTTGGAACCTAACTTTTCTAGGGCTTTTTGAATGAGCTATGAATCACTGAAATCAGACCAGGGAGTAGAGTATATATATATATATATATATATATATATATATATATATATATATATATAATTATCTTTTAAAAAAAAATTATAACATAAATATGTTATAAAATCACTACAAAAATAGTTATTTTGTTTCAACATCCTTGCGTCTTATCACGTGATGATGTTGAATGTAAAATAAATGGTTTTAAAAGTTTCAAATTAATTAACGATCCTTCGTAAGGGAAAACGCTATCACGAAAGCTAGAATGACCAATCAAAATACAAGTATAGGAAAATTCAAAAAGGCTTGACAACGAAGTCATGTTATAATAGCTATTCAAATCTTTAAAGTACGGGTGATATTAAAAAAAGAATT